CTGAGACTAGCATGGAAACCTGAAATAAGACATGGTTGCTTTAAAGAGATGCTGTGCTCTTCTACATTCTGAAGTATTACTGAATCATTTTTGAAATATGCACAGCCTTACTGTTCACTTTTACTAGGACTTTCTGAGTTTCTGGGTTAAGCAGAATTAAATCTAGTTGATTCTTTGATGCAATACCACCAGAGGATACCAGAGGTAATGTCATCAGAAGGAGCTAAAGCTGACTCAAAGGAATTAAAAATAAATAAATAAAAGGTCTGTCACTGCATTTCACCAAACACAGATACACAACTGAACTGTGCAATACTAACTGTTGAGATCTGGTTCATTATTGAAAGGCTAAGTGACCAATTACCACCGGCTACTCTTTGTCACTGTCAGGTGCATGTTGAACACTTTGAAGGCTTTAGGCTGTTCATCTATTTTTTTGACAACTTGCCAAACTCTGGTATTTAATCTTCTGCCTACTATAAAACTGTCACTGCTTTTTGTTCTTTTTGTATACTGGATTTTTTTGCTAAAACTTTATTATTCAACTTTTTGTCTCCATGTTCTTTCTGAAAACCAGAATCATAAGGATTTCTCTGAATGGCTTTTCAGGGCATGGGATTTCTTTGAATGACTTTTCAGGGCATGGCATCATTACATTTGGGGAGTATAAGATGCCTCTTTCTCAAGGCTATTTATTTTTACTTAGTTTATTAGATTTATATCCTGCCTTTCCTCCATGATTTCGAGGCAGTTTACTTGGGAGCTCCCTTCATTATATCCCCACCCACCATGACAACCCCATGTGATAGGGTTGGACTGAGAGAGCATAAGTAGCCCAAAGGTTAGACTTGAACCTGGCTAATGTATGATAATTATGCTAATAACATATTCTGAACCCAGACATTACATTACCTGTGTGTAACACCAGCTTTCAGCCACAGGTCCACTGGACATCTCTCCAGATGGTAAAGGAGTAGGGACTCTTGACATCCCCACTTTATGGCACTCTTTTTCAGTATATAGGCAGCAATTTAGCTGTCAGTATCCTTCCTTTAAACACCAAGATGAAAGCAAAGAATTAACACTATTTCACATTATTAATATATATTTTTCCATCTAAGGATGTGAAAGCTCAAAAAACAAGACAAAAAGTGAACAAAATACTGAGATAAAAAACTATATTTTTCTTCTTCTTTCTCCAAGGCTTTTAATTTTTTTATAAAAAACTGAAAAAGGGGGAAGGGGGGAATATAAAATTTATCTTAACATTCTTTTAATGATACATAAAAGTATTAAAAGGTAAAAGAAACTGCTCTATGTTTATAAATATATTGCATAAAAAATAGATTAACATGTCAAAGGAAAACAGCAAAACAGCTTGCCTCAGTACAGGGAAAATAGCAGTTTTTGTAAGCCCATGAACTTGGTAAAAGATTAAAAAATAAAAACTGAGGAGTAAAAACTACTGACAATAATAGTGTTTCACATTAAGAAAGTAAGAACATACAGAAATGGTTCATGTGGTGAAATATATTCTGAATCTTATTTTTTCTACTAAAGATTAGTGGATAGCTTCTGATAAATTTCATACAGTGAAATCAAATTCTAGAAGACATAATTTCCTTTGTTTTACTATAATATTGATGTTTTGTTTCTTCATTAGCTGTAGGTTTCTCCTAAGCAGGAAAAAATGAAGAGATGTTATATTATTATATTTTGAACCCTGACAATTTAATTTAGTATCCACCTTTTATTAAAAAAAAATTTAAATAGACTTCAAAAAAGTCAATGAAAAGTGCCAATAGCAACTGTTGGACCAATTTACTTTTTTTTTCCAAGTCAGATATCAAACAGCAATTGTTGTGGCTTATCTATATATTTAACTGACAGAGGATACCTTTATTTATTTCATTTATTCATATGCCTCCAAAAGTTCTAGGTAGCTTACAAACATAAAATATATTAGAATGCAATAAAATTCCATGAAACACAGACATTATCAGACCTGAGTCGACAGAATGAAATCTCAAACAAAAACAGAAAAAAAGAAAAAGAAAAAAGAAAGAAAGTCTTGCCCGAGCAGGCTGGTTTTAACCGCCTTGCAGAAGGCCAAAAGCAAAGGGGCCAGATGCAGCCCAGGGGGATCTCAATTTGGTAGACAGAACATTATCCAGAGAGATTTGCTAAATCAGTAGAACTGAACTACACTAGAGGTCATTCTGCATTCATTCTTCTCAAAGGGAAGGACATAAATCCTTAACAAAACCTACAGGGATCAAAGATAATGGACTATCTTCTGATTCTTATAACCAAAAACAAACAAACACTCATCACACTTAGTAAGAAGGAAAAGGGCTGTGTCATGATCAAAAGAGGAAACTTTCCATTTCTCCCAACCCTGGCAGACAAGTGCAATTAATTTCAAGCTTATCAATGAGGGAGGGTGTTGTGCAAAGAAACTTCTCAAAGCATTAAAGCAGCCATACCCTTTGCAAGGCTCATTTAGCCAGCCTGAAAGCTTGGGGGCAGATTTCTGTTGGAATCAGCAACAAAGTGGTTGTGCATGGACACACCCTGGAGATAGTTGGGTACAACTTTTAAAGCAACAGAGTGAGCTTTACAAAGGATGCACTGTTTTAACACTTCACACAGGGGTGCTTCACCTGGTTTTACAAGCTTTATGAAGCACCCCTTCTGAATGCTTTGAATAGCCCTAATATTAATCTGCACATTGTATTCAGCCTCGTGAGAGAAGAAAGGTTCATTCAAAGTCTACTAAAGACTTCTGATCTAGGTCACAGTCCCCCATACTGTTTCAGGAAACACAATGAATCTCAAAAGCAGATCTTCAGGGGAAGCCCAGGATAGGGAAGCTGGAAAAAAGTCACCTTCTTCCTTTCTGCATGGGGGATGCTTTTCCTAGCAGGAGGAAACCCTTGATCCATCCAAGCTTGGATTTGGCTACACACAGCTTTGTATATAAAGTTCCAATGGTTCCATTCAACAACACTGAGACATCCATAAAAAGCAGACAAAAACAATGTTGTCTGCCTTTTGAAACATTTGGCATGACATTTTTCCAAAGATGTTTATCCTGTTGATTTGAGTTAAATACACATTGGTTTGAGTTAATCACACAATACTACTTACACAGTATTATGCAATAATAGTTTTCGGGCTCACATACAAATCCGACTTAAGGACAGACATTGGGAACAGAACTTGTTCTTAAACTGGGGATTACCTGTATTCAGTCAATATTAGATTTGATAAACAAATATTTTCCTCCAACATGGCTTTCTAGATTATAAAAATTCCATGTCTGTGGAAACTCTAAACTCTAAAAAGTCATTTAAATACTAGACAGCTTTAACACAAAATTTATTGAAGCATTAAAACTACAAACTTTTTTTCCCCAGGAGAATCCATCAGAATTAATCATTTTTGCCTTAAACTGTCTGATAGCTGTACTGAGCTCTAAAATGTAACTATAATGTGTTTTACCCTGGCAGAAATCAGTAAATTGAGACAGACTAAAATTGGAGCTGTTTGTTTCTCCTAAGATAAGGATGAACACGAAGTTTAAATATGGCAGTAGGTAATAGGTTAATACAGACTGTGCATGTGTGATCCAAGTATATTGCAGGCAAAATATTGATAGAGGATAGGGAGGGGCTGATTTGAAAATAAAGAATTTAAGGAACAGCAATTATGAAATAAATTTGATTATATTAAAATAATACCAAACAGCTACACATATGAACAATATTCAAGAGGTTTTATCACAGTATCACATGTATTAAAATTAAACATATACACAAAACCATCAAAACAATCAGTGGAAGGTAAAGAGAAGCTACTGCTCCTTCAAGGTTCACGTAAAACCAGAAGTAAAAAACTTTCACTTCAATATTTGTTAGCAACAGATCGAGAGAGACTCAAAGCATACCTCTCCACTAATACCAGCATGGCTAAATCTCTTGTACTTTATTCTTTTCCCTTTTATTTCAGAATTTGCCTAAAAACATTAATTAAGCATGAAAATATTCATTAAAAATATCTGTGAAAAATATTCAATAGAAGTTCCTTGCAAACATGGAGCTGCTGCATACAGGTGGTCCTTGGGTTACAAAAGCAATTGGGACCAGAATTTCCATCACTAAGCGATGCTAAGCCATGATATCACGTGATTGCATGGCTTAGCAATGGCAATCCTGGCAGACCCAGTTACTGTCGTAAGCCCAGGACCACAAGGGTCATTAAGCAGGAAGAGTCAGGAGTCCCAGGCAAGCAGGTTGGCAGGTGAGAGCTGTGAGCGAGAGCTACTGGCAGGCAGGAGGGCAGGTGCTGTGGGCAGGTGCTAGGGAGTACAGGTGGGTGCCGCAGGTAGGCACTAGGAAGCATGGGCAGGTGCACAGGTGCCATGGGGTGGTGAGTTGAGACCTCCTGTCGCATTTCCCATTGACTTTACTTGTGGAAAGCCGGCAGGGAACATTGAAAATTGCAATCACGTGACTGGCTCACTGCGATGTTATTGCAAACTGGGTGCCAAGCACCCAGATTGTGACCACAAGACCATAAGGACACTCCAACAGCCGGAACTCCGAGGACATGTTAGAAAAACATGTTTCTAAGATAGGGAACCAAAATTACTTATGTGGCATATCATTATTCAAAATTACAAGAAGGTGGATATCAAAGTTCAAGAATCTGAATTGACTGGCTCCTAACAGCTTTTGTTTTGGAAATTGAGAGTTCTACAAGTTACAGTGACAAATACCTAAGTCAGATATTTCAATAATTCTAGTAAAAAATATTTTTATTTTAAAAATATTTTCTATTCAATTATCTATATGAAGAGAGATTAAGCATTTGTTGAGTAAAGTTCACATAAATTCACTTCCTTCTGAAGCTGATTTGTAAAATATTATTAGATTTTTAGATGATATGACATTGAGTTGACGAGAGAGAGAGGAGAGAGAGAGGAGAGAGTGAGTCAACTCAAGGTGGTGAACATACATAATATTCTTTCCTCCTGTTTTCCCCACCACAACCACCCTATGAGGTTGGTTGGCTGAGAGAGAGTGACTGGCTAAAAGTCACCCAGTTGGCTTTCATGCCTAAAGGAGGATGAGAACTTAGTCTTCTGGTTTCTATGCCAGCATCTTAACCACTACACCAAAGTGGCTCTCTTATTATTAATAAATTACAATAGACACAATTCAGTCAAGGTTCAAACACCTAATAGTGCACTTCTATAAACAATCAGTTCAGAAATAAACCCCACTAACTTCAATGGAGCTTACTTACAAATAAAAATCTATAGGATTACAGCCTAAATCTCATTGGGAATTTAAGTTGATGCTTACATGTGTTTTCCCTTAAAATAAATATGTTTTAAGTGCTTAACTTGGGTGGATTATACCCAATATGTAATATGTATTATGAAAGACTCACAATCTACAAGTAGGGGGAAAAATTGAATGGAAATTCTAACAATATGTGACTGAACATTGCATCATTACTTAAAATCAGAAAGAAGTTTGTATGCTGTGCCTTTCAAAGTTCCACCTCCAGAAGTTATTGTGATGATTAATGGACTTCCAAAGACTCAATTTAAGTTATTTCCTGGAAGTCTGTATTGCTGGCAAACTTCTAAAAACTCAAGAGGCAGAACTGGCACCAAGTGAAAGTTTAACATAACTGTTCAATTAGGATAATTAAATTAAGGTAATTATTACAATTATTAAGATAATTAGGATACATTATTAAAATTTGTGCTAGCATAACTAACACTTAGCAGTCCCATTGTGCTATGCTTTCTGCAAGACTAACATCCCCAATGGAAGATCAAACACATCATGTACAAGAAGTTTGGGAAAGATCATGCTAACACCAAGGTTAATAATGAATAGCTGTCAAAATATTTCACTTTTTTTTTTTTGTTTCTGTCAGGCTTTTTTTCATGGTTCACAGGACCAAACAGGGAGGCTTTTAAAGACTGATCTGATCAGAGGAGACACAGAACAACTGCTTTTCAGATATTTCAA